TTGAGATGATGAGAAAGTTCTGGAAAAAGTAGTGATGACTGTATAACACTGTGAATGTACTCAATGGCACTGACTTGTACACTCAAAAATGACTAAAATGGCAAACTCTACGTTATGCATATTTTACCATAATTTTTTTTTTTAAGAAGTGAGAAACACAATGTGTGCCCAGGCCTCCCCCTCCCAGCCTCCCGGGGCCGCTTGATCTTGGAACCCCAGCCACCCTCTCAAGTGGCTGTAATCAGGACGCGTGGGTTTCAAGGGGGCACAAGCTGATGCTACCTCCTTTAAGTAAACTTTAAAAGCCCACGAGCCCACACAGGGCTCCCAGCGGGACTCGAAAAGGGGACGGGGTCTGGAAGTGGGTGAGCACTCCTAACGACAGGATAGCTTCCCCTGAAACAAGGAAGAGGGTGTTTGTCCCCCCCTCGCCCCCGACTTTTTGCTTGTTTCTACGGGTGAACCCTGAGCCAGCACATCCCATCTGTCCACTAATTCCAACTGCGCACCTGGGGGGGGCGGCGCGGGAAGCGGCGAGTGGAGCCGGGGCCAGAGCGTGGGGCGAGGGGCGGTCCCGAGGGAGGCACTTCCCGCGGGGCGGGGAACCGGGCCGGGGCGCGCGCGGGGGCGCGGGGCGGAGGAGGAGCCCCCGACCCGGCCTCGCGGCCCCTCCGCGACACCTCTCCGGCTGCCCTGCCGGTTACCCCGCTGGCCGCGCGCTGAGCCCGGGGGCGCGCGCTCCCTCCCCTCCCCCCCACTTTACGGACCGGGAAACTGAGACCCTGGGCACCGTGGGGGAGGCGGGTGAAACCACGCACCCAAGGTCACCCGCCAGGCAAGCGGCAGGGCTGGCCTGGGACTCGGGGGCGCTCCGGGCCTGGGGCCTGCGCCGGCAACCCCGTGCGCAGGAGCCGGGCCTGAGACCTCGGTGATGGGCCGGAACCGGCCCGGAGGGACTGAGGGAGCTAAAGTTCGAGGCCTGGGCCAGGGGGCGATCCCGGAGGCGCCCCCAGGACCGCCTGGCTCCCCCCAGTCGCGGCCCAGGCCGCCCCCACCCTTGGGAGGGCTCGCGGGAAAGGCCGGCGCCGAGGCCGCGCCGGGGGTAGGCCGCCAACAGACCTAACGGAGCCGCCGCCGGCCGCCAACCGCCGATAGGAAGCCCGCCCCGGGGTTAAGGGACCGTGGCATACTCACCCCTTAGGGCCTGGAGCCCCGTTGCCGGTCGGCACTCCGGGCGCGCCGCTCTCCTCCTCCATTTTGATCTCCGTCGCCGCCACCTCGGCCGCTGCTTCGACCCCTGCCGCCATTTTCTCCGCGTCTGGGCTTTGTGTGAGGGAGCGGGCTGCGCGGCACTGCGCCTGCGTGCTCACGTGACCCGGCGCGACCAGTAACGCCTGCGCGCGCCGCTGCCGGCTCCCTCTGTGGCCCCCTCCCGCTCCGGGCCACGCCCCTACTCGGGGCTTCGGCCCTGCCGTGCGCAGGCGCAGACCGGCAACTGTGGATTCATTCATTCCCTACACCAACCCGCGTTAGGCACCACCTGGCTGTGCCGCCCGCGTGCCCTCCAAGTCCCGTAGGGGAGGCATCTCCCCACCGACCCCACACTCACCCACATGCCCCGACCTACTCACTGTCAGCTTTTTGCAACCATAGCTGGGCAGAGAGACAGAGAAAATTCTGTCTGGGGGTTCCTGGAAGGTTTAGGGGATTATTAAAGACATTTTAATATTATTGAAGATTATTAAAGTTTGGCGTTAGCCAAACTAAAACTATTATTTTTTAATTTTTTCTTCTTTTTTTTTTTTTAGTGTTTTTTTTTTCTTTGTATCCCCTGTTGATTTTCTAAAACCTATAAGCCGGCCAAACAAACTTTCTTCTCACTGTAATGGAAAGTACTGGAAGAGATGTGCAAAGAAAGCGGCTTTCTCTCGTCTTGATGGCATGTCCTGGAGTGTCCTTGCATCATCTCCCCAGGCACCACACTCCAAAGCTGGCTTGAGAAGAGGTGTAGGAATGAGGCGGACCCCCAAGGACCAGCAGAGCTAACACACCTGGGTGTGATCCTGTGTTCCTGCAGACCACCAGCCCATCAGCCACCCTACAGGCCAAGCCCATCTCTGTGAGCCCCCTGCCCCTCCAACGCTACTCCAGCCAGGTGGTCCTCCCTGCTGCTCTTCCTCCAGGCTAAGTAGGTGCCAGTCTGGGGGGGGGGGCCTTTGCACTTTGTGCTTTCTTCCACTCTCACAGCCACATTGGCTTCACCTTGCCCTTCCAGCTGGGGCGGAGAGTGTTTTTATTCCTTTGTGGGCAAGCTACATACCAGGCAGGGATTCATGCAGAAAACAGACCTTGAGCAAGTGACCCCACCACTCTGAGATTGCTCTTCTGCAAATGTGGTTATAAGAATCCGCCGGGTGTGGTGGCTCAGGCCTGTATCCTGGGAGGCCAAGTGGGGAGGATAGCTCAGATAGATCGAGGTCAAAGATTCGAGACCAGCCTGAGCAGAGCGAGACCCCCATCTCTACTAAAATAGAAAGTATTAATTGGCCAACTAAAAATACATAGAAAAATTAGCCGGCATGGTGGCACATGCCTGTAGCCCAGCTGCTCGGGGCTGAGGCAGAGATCACTTTAGCCCAGGATTTTGAGGTTGCTGTGAGTAGGCTGACGACACAGCACTCTAGCAGGGCAACAGAGTGAGACTCTGTCTCAAAAAAAAAAGAAACTCCTAGGGCCAAGGATGGTGGCTCATGCCTGTATCCCAGCACTCTGGAGGGTGAGGTGGGGGATCATTGAGATCTGGAGTTCAAGACCAGCCAGAGCAAGAGTGAGAGAGACCCTGTCTCTACTAAAAATAGAAAAAATTAGCTGGGCGTTATAGTGCGCATCTGTAGTCTCAGCTGCTTGTGAGGCTGAGGCAGGAGGATCACTTGAGCCCAGGAATTTGAGGTTGCTGTGAGCTAAGCTGACACCACTGTACTATAGCCTGGGCAACAGAATGAGACTATGTTCAAAAAAAAAGAAAAAAAAAACCCAGGGCCAGACAGACAGCTCACTCCGTAGTCTCAGTACTTTGGAAGATCAAGGCAGGAGTCACTTGAGCCAGGAGTTCAAGACCGCCTGAGCAACATAGCTAGACCGCATCCTATAAAAAAATTATAGCTGGGCAGGGTGGTGTGGTCCTGTAGTCCTACCTACTTGTGAGGCTGAGGCAGAAGGATTGTTTGAGCCCAGGAGTTTGAGACCAGGCTGGGCAACATAGGGAGACCCCCCTCTCTAAAAAAAATTTTGCTTTAATTAGCCAGGCATGCTGGTGGACACCTGTAGCCCCAGCTACTTGTGAGGCAGGAGGACTGCTTGAGCCAAGGAGTTTGAGGTTGCAGTGAGCTATGATCGTACTCCTGCACTTCAGCCAGGGTGACAGAGCAAGACCCTGTCTCTGAAAAAAAGAAAAAAATCAATCCCTACAACTCCCCCTTTCAGAGCCATTGTAAGCATTAAAAGCAGGCAGATGCCAAAAGCCCTTAACCCTTTGCACTCGGATGTCGAGTGTGACTCAACACAGTTAGCAAAAATTATAGAGATTAAAATTACTCTTTGAATGTATCAATAATTTGAACTATAAAAAAATCCAGGCCGGGCACGGTGGCTCACACCTGTAATCCTTGCTCTCTGGAAGGCTGAGGCGGGCGGATTGCTCTAGGTCAGGAGTTCGAAACCAGCCTGAGCAAGAGCGAGACCCCGTCTCTAACTATAAATCAAAAGAAATTAATTGGCCAACTAACATATCTAGAAAAAAAAATTAGCCGGGCATGGTGGCGCATGCCTGTAGTCCCAGCTACTCGGGAGGCTGAGGCAGCAGGATTGCTTGAGCCCAGGAGTTTGAGGTTACTGTGAGCTAGGCTGACGCACGGCACTCACTCTAGCCTGGGCAACAAAGTGAGACTCTGTCTCAAAAAGAAAAAAAACTCCAAATAAATAAGCTTGTATGAAAAGAAACTCCAGTTTTTTATTCTACTGCCGCGCTTTGTAAAATCTAGGATATTTTAAAAATTAAATCCCGAGTAGAATAAAGGAATCGAGAAAAAAGCAAGTGAATGCAAAGCATGAAACAGCTCACCACACAGAAAGCACTCAAGGAGTAGGTGTTGTCCTTAGCATGACCACATTCTGAATCTTTCCTGAGTCCTCATGGGAGATAGACCACAAAGCACTGGGACAGTGCAGACCTAACCTGCAGTCATCCCAGCTCTACTTCCTACAGCTGTGGGACCTTAGATAAAGGCTTCCCTACCCTGGGTTTCAGTCCAGGAAATACCATTCCTTCCCCCAAGGGTGGCAGCAAGAGTCAGAAGAGGGGAGGGAACCCATGAAGGCTCAGAAGTGGCCCTCACCCCGTAGTGACCCTTAATAAGTGTGGATACTGTCACCGTCAGCTGTTAGTGTAAGGGGTCCTGCATGGCATTTGGCCCTTGGGAGGTGCAAAGTAAGTGGAAATTGTTCTTCTTACATATACTTTTAAAATCAGGCCAGGCACGGTGGCACAATCCTATAATCTCAGCACTTTGGGAGGTGAAGGCAGGAGGAGGATCACTTGAGGTCAGGAGTTTGAGACCAGCCTGAGCAAGAGCAAGACCTGGTCTGTACAAAATAAATAAAATTAGCTGGGCATGGTGGCGCATGTCTGTAGTCCCAGCTACTGGGGAGGCTGAGGCAGGAGGATTCCTTTAAAGCTCAGGAGTTGGAGGCTGCAGTGAGCTATGATGACACCACTGCACTCCAGGCTGGGTGACAAAATGAGACTCTGTCTCCAAAAAAAAAAAAAAAAGTCATTTATTATATAACCCTGCTACCTGTTCTTCACTTGAAAACTCAAGCTTTGCTTCATCCTGCGGGCTTCAAAACAGATCCCTCAAAATGGACTGAGTGGTGTTTGTTTTTTACCTCCACGTGGTCCCCCACTGTGAGGCCTTGGTTCAGAAATGTAACTGACAAGTCCCTTTTGTCCAGCAAGGGCTCCTTTTATTCAATCAGGGGTGGGTTTTTGAAACACAGTGCAACTTTATATAAAGTCGAGGGTGCCAGGAAAGCGGGCCTGCCGAGTGCGGAGAAGCGCAAGAAGCTTGCTGGAACCTTCCAGCCCAAAGGGTGCCCCTGGACACACCGGCCACAGTCGCTGGCCCTCAAGGTGCCACATGGACCTCGGAATGAGAGCAGAGCACCTGTTCCATCCAAAGCAGCCCAGGACCACCGTGTCCGTCTGTCCTTGTCGCGTACGACAGTGTGCAAAAAACCTGAAAACAGATTCACACGCAGGATCACAGAACGCAGGTTCCACGTGGCGTCTCTTGGCCTAAGAAGCGCTCTGGCCGTGCAGGAAGGGTCGGGCAGTTTCCGTCCTTCCAAACGCCAGGGCATCTCCAGCTACCCCTGGCCTGATGTCGCAGGGCCCCGCCGGCCTCTCTTCACACGGGCGTCTCCTCCGCCACCTTCTTGAGGAGTCCAGCTGCCAGCGGGGAGTGCTGGGGGCCTTCAGAGCCATCCGCGTCCCGGATCTTCAAGCGCACCTTCTGGTTGGTCTTTCTCCACTCCGAGTACAGCTGGCAGTGGTAGCGGAAGGAAACCTGCAGGGCAGTGCTGCAGTGAGTGGGCAGGGAGGCCCAGAAGGTCTCCACCCCCAAGGAAGGAAAACAGGGCCCCGTGGCGCCCGCCTTGGCCCAAACCAGGGCTGGCTGGGCTTTGCTTGTGGCGTTCTGCAAAGGCAAGGCACCCTTCCCGCCCCAGCAGGGAGCTCCCTCTCTGCCCCTCAGGGGGGCAAGGGAGTGAAACACCCTCTTGGGAGGGACTGAATGTCAATCAGTCACACAACTGCCCAAACCTGGCAGTACCCAAGATGTTCGTTCCTCTGTAGAAGCTAGGATGATGCCCCTGCACTCTACCCCCCGGGGCAACAGAGCAAGACCCTGTCCCCAATGGATAAATAAACGGTGGCACAACCAGAAAATGAAATTTCACGGGGCACTAAAAAGACATGCGATCTCAAGCCAGGATGTGGAAGGCCGGGTGCAGTGACTCAAGCCTGTAACCCCAGGTCTGGTCCCCCCAAAATAAAAATGTCAGTGGTTCATACCCTTTGAGCAAGCAAGTTCCCAAGAAACATTTGCGCAGGCGCTGCCCAAAGCACTGATCATAACAGCAAAAAAAAAAAACCAAAACGGCTGTGGGGTGAGAAAAGCACACATTGGAAAGCATCCCAGCATCTGTCAAAAGGGATTGGTTAAATAAACACGGTACACCCATACAATGGATGCCTGCTGGGGGCCCGTCTTTTTGTTTTTCTTTTTTAAACGGCACTAGCAAAATGAAAACAAGCAGACTGCAACGCGGTAGCTATGATTTCGGCCTATTTATATTTTAAAATACATGCTAGCGGTGGGCAGGGCTCTTTCTCTTTAAGCTGGGGTTCTAATTTTGTCCAGGAGTCTAGAACAACTGCCCCACCTCAGTCACCCTGTCTCTGTCTTTCCGGTTTCTTTCTTGCTCAGTTTTCATGCCTTTTTTTTTTTTTTTTTAGAGACAAGGTCTCACTCTGTTGCCCAGGCTGTAGTGTAGTAGCGTGCTCACAGCTCACTGCAGCCTTAAATTCCTGGCCTCAAGGGATCCTCCTGCCTTGGCCTCCCATAATGCTGGGATTATAAGTGTGAGCCACTGCCCCCATCTGATTTCTCAGTATCTACCCATTCCCCGCCCATCTTGCTGCCTCACTCTTTTGCTCCTCGCCTCCACCGCCAGCCTTGGGGGTTCATGGAGGGGAGGCGTGAGCTGCGCTGGGGACTAGCAAGCAGGTGCACCGGGACCCTTAGAGCACAAAGCTCACACCTGGCTCAGGGCTTCTTTGGCCCTTTGTCACGCGTGGCATCTGAAGGTCCACGAAATGCAGGGTGAGCTGGGGGCTCCCTCCCACCCGGGGCTAAAGACAGAGGCAGGCAGCCAGGGAGCCCCACGCTCGCCCCATGCCCGCCACCCACCCACCCATCACTGAGCTGCTCCAGGTGGGACAGCCCCGCGGCTGGCGGCCACTCACCAGCGTCCAGAGGACGTAGATGGTGAAGAGGGCGATGGTGAGAGCGATGAGCCCCATGGCCTCGAGCCGGCTGTGCAGCCGCAGGTGATCCTGGGCCCCGCGCAGGCACAGCCAGCCCGAGATGGCGGCCAGCGGCGTGATGAACAGGAAGCACACCATGTCACAGCACAGCGTCCGCTTCTCCGTCCTGGGCCCTGGGTCCTTCAGCCACTGCAGGGGGAGCCGATGGGGGAAGGGGCCGCTGAGGGCTCAGGGACCTGCAGCCTCCGTCCCTTCCTTCTTTCAAACACTTACGGAGCCTACAGGAAAGTCAAGCCCTGCCAGGTGCTGGGCGCTTTGGCATTCATGTTACAGATGGGGAAACTGAGGCACAGAGGAGGTTAACTCACTGGAGCAAACTCACGCAGCCAGGAGTCTGCAAAGCCAGGGTCGGAACCCAGGAAAAAAGTCTTGCTCCAGGGCCTGAGCACCCTTGGCCGATATTCCTACCATGCTTGGCCTCCCCCGGATGACGGGCGAAGAGAAATGGGCTTCGCTCCGGAAATCCTGGTGCTCGGGACCGAAAGGGTCCCTGCCCTCCCATGCCAGCTGGGGAGGTATGACGTGGTATTGTCCCGTATGTGCCCCACTCTCTGCAGCACGTTCCCATCATACACTGTTGCTCCCAGCAACCACTGCTTCGCTGGTTCGCTGGACTTGAATCTCCGTGAGCACCAGCCTTCGGTGCCTTGTTGGTGGCTGGGTCCCCAGCGTCCAGCAGAGTGCTGGGCACCCTGGGGGTGCTCAGGAAATACTTGCTCATGAAACAGGAAACCCAAACGGCATGGGGCTACTGGGTTTGGCAGGTCTAGCACTTCAGGCGTGGTCAGCAGAATCTACCTGGGGACAGGTGTAGGGAGGTCCCTGGCCCAGCAGAATCCCCTAGGGTAGCTCCTGCCTCTGACCCCCATGCCTGCTTTCTTCCCCTCCGCCCACCCCACCCCCAGGCTCCCGAGGGTACCTCTGTGAGGGGCCGGGGCCGCTTCTCCACCGCGAACTCCGTGTGGCACAGCTCACAGTAGCTGGTGTTGGACGAGGACAGCCATCTCTCCAGACAGCTCTTGTGCACGGCGCCCAGCGTGCCGGCACAGCCACACGGAGACAGCAAGCTCTCGCCGTTTGCTCCCTCATGGCAGATCCGGCAGAAGGGACCATCACTGGGCACAGAGATAGGACCCGTTAGCAATGACTGGGCTTCCTGCCTGCATCTGCTTCACTACCTGCTAGATCACGAGCTCGCCGTTGTCTCCATGCTGCCACTTGGCAAACTCCTATTCATCCTTCGATGCCCAGCTCCAAATGTCCTTTCTTTTGGAAAGCCTTTCTAGACTCCTATAAGTAGAGTGATATGCTGCCTTCCCAGGACTTCTGTGGCACCTTTTTAAGCCCAGGGTGAGGATCTCTTGTACCTGCCTGCCCAGTGTCCTCTCCTTGCCCTACAACACCACCCTGGTTGTCCTGGGCAACCACCCCACTCTCAACTCTTGGTCCTCAAAGGCCAGGGCAGAGCCGACGACACCCCTGATGACCTCGGGCCTGACCAATCAGGACACCACACACCCCTGGTCACGGGGACCCACTCAGGGAAGGGCTTGTGAGATGCAACCAGAGCTGCTGGGAACCAATTCCTGAAATTCCTTTTTTCCTTCCCCTAAATTCCAGAACCGTCAGCGGCAAGGCTGACGCAAGCCTGGAGCTGCTGGCAGCCGCCTGGTGTACTCGCAGAGCCCACGAATGATGCCAACACGGAGGAAAGCAGAGGCACGAGACAGGGAAAGGCGGACATCCTCAGAGGCCCTGGATCTAGCCACACCTGAAGGCCACGCTGCCTGAGAAACCTGTACGTCCGGACAGAAGTGCTCACCTGCTCCTCTGCTCTTGTGAGAGGGAAGCAGACATAAAAAGCAGCCGCAGAGAGCTGCCTGCCTCAGGAAAGTCTCCAGTCCCCAGGGAGGCTGCGTCCTTCCTGGGGTGGCTCAGGAGGCAGGGGGTGTGGCCTTGGCGGGTCCAGCGCATGAGTCATCGTTTCCCAAACATTTCTGCCCGGAACGCAGACTTCGAGCACAGAGAAGAGCAAGAAAGATGGCGACGGGCGGTTATGCCATTGTCCGCGGCGCTGTCGGCTCGGCGGGCGGTGCCCGGAACGCAGGTGCCGGTTGGAGCGGAGCTAGCGGGCCGACCGGGCCGGGCCGGGCCGGGCCCGGGCCAGGTGAACCTAGGGGCCTGCGCGGCCGCCCGGCCCGGCCGCGGATCAGGTAGGCACCATGCCGACAGGTAGAGCGGAAGGCCACGGTCCGCGGGCTGACCCCGGTCGAGGCCGGAGCTCGGCGCCCCCCCCCACTCCAGGCGTGACAGCCGGGCTCGAACCTCTTGCCGCAACCTCCCCCGAGACCCAGGGACCGCAGGTCCCGTCTCGAGGCCGGTGGTATCTGAGCCCCGGCACACAGTGGCGCCTCTCCGAGCTCGGTTTCCCCACGTGTGAAACTGGGTCATCCCATTGCAACCCCGGATGCGGCTGCTGGGGATTTCAGGAGGTGGCTGGCTGAGGGAGGAAAAGCGCCCCTGCACACAGCAGTCCGGTCGATAAGGTGTCCTTCCCCAGCCTCCTTCTCAGAGGGGGGCTCTGCCTGGAAATAGTAAATATTATAAGAGTCAGGCGCTTGTGCAAAATGATGCTCCAACAGGATGCTGTGTGCTGTGGGGTGCTCCAAAACAGGGAGTCAGCCTTGATAGGATTAGCTCATCAGCCCCCTCCAGGAACCCTACTAACTAAGGTGGAAGCTCCTAGAAAAAATGTTTCCCTGTTTTGTGCAATGAGGTAAGTCGAGGCTCAGAGAGGGTTAAGTCTCTTTCCAGGGCCACCACAGCAGTCAAGGAGCAGAGCCTGGGAGTTGGAACCTGGCTTCTGATGCAGGAATCCAGTGCTGGAGACACACAGGGACCTCTCTTGGGTGAGTGAAGAGGAGTGAATGCGTTTGCCAAGATTCCACGTTTATCCTAAACGATAATAACGGTGGCATTTATCACGCACCTTACTGTGTGCCCAGGTGCCTGACCGTGTGTCTCTCATCAAACTTCACAGCTCTGTAAGCTGATAAGATCATTACAACCCAGAGCTAATATTTATTGACTTTTTAATATTTACCGACGCATGAATGGGGTATCATTATGAACCCATTTTAACAGATGAGGAAACTGAGGCTCAGAGAGTGAAGCAGCTGCTGGACGATCCACCACTGTAGGGCGTCTAGGGCCTCTTAACTTCTCTATCCCTCAGTTTCCTGACCTCCGGAAAAGGAGCTGGAAGGTGGGAAGGCATGGAAAAGATTTGGGGTGCCTCAATGCCACCCCCAGTGCAAACCCAGCTAAGGTGAGCTTTCTGGAGGAATTAGACTGGAGGGTCCCTTCCTCTGGAGAACCCTCAAGCAGACACCGGCCCACTGTTCCATCAGCATGCTTGGCAAAGGGAAGATGGGGCGGAGAGAAAGCAAAGTGACTTGAATCAGGACACACAGTGGCGTGGCAGAGCCAGGACTTAAGACCCAGATCCACTCACGGCTAGACTGTCTTAAGTTCAAATCATGGCACTGCCCTTTGTAGCTCTGTGACCTTGAGCCAATAGGTGCCCTCTCCGAGCCTCCAGCTTTTTTCCACCCTATCGTATGGAGTGATTGTTGGTTGGTTGTGGTCCAGACTTATGCAATCCGTCCCCTGGCATTTTGGGCCCCAACGGTTTGCCCAAGGCACTGGCTCGCTCCTGCATTCCGCAGGCCCAGAGCTGAGTCCAGCCTGCAGCCCCACCGTTTCCTTGTGCCCAGCCCTGAGTGTAGCCTCTTCCCAAACCCAGACCTGGGTGGTTTACATGAACCTCCCTCCTCTAAGCATCTCTGATTCCCGCCACCGGGGGGCTTGGAGCCCAGGGTCTGAGAGCCAAAGAGATGTGGTTTCTCCCCACTCTGTTCTGACACGAGCAGGGGCCTGAGAATGACTGCAGCGACAACAGACACAGCAAGCAACGATCAGCAAGCAATGAATGCAGCAGATCTGAGCAGACACAGGTGCTGGGGATGGGGGGAGGCAATCTCACAGGGCCCCCCCTTTTTCTAGAGTTCACCGTGCAGAGTGGGATGGCACATGCATGGTTAAGTAAGTGGATGAATAGCATTATAAGAGCATTCAGAGGAATGGTCACACTGCGTGAGAGGTAAACGTGGACCCCAGTGTCACTTTCAGCAGGGGAGCTGGTTGGGGAGGGCTTCCTTCCTGGAAGGTGACCTTTGAAGGGGAACACTTTACAGCGACTGTTTTTACCGAGCTCAGTGAGATGATTAACAATATGCAGATTGCTTGCGCGCAGTACCAGTCCTTCAATAACAGGAACTCAATGATTATTTGGCAGTTTGCAGACCGTGCATTAGCAGATCTCACCAGTGGGTTTTTTTTTCCCCCTCCTGATAGTAAAAGAAAATATAGAGGCATGACATTACAGGAGCTGTGGTCGTTCTTATAAACGCACAACTATGTTGTCGGGAATGTTAAGACCGATTCCAGAGGGGTGGGAGGTGTTCCCTTGGAGGGCAACGTCCAAGTGGGCTCCCCTCTGACCCCTGGCACCGGGGTTCCTGGTGGCAGGTACACCAGGAGGGACAGAAGCATGTAAGACATGGGCAGCCCTGGCCACTGTCCCCTGGGGCTTGTTATCTCCAGGCCTGCAGCCTTACTCCCTCCCAGTCTCCTTCCTGCCCTTTGGCTGATACTTGCTTATCTGGCCCTACGCGTCGGGCTGCAGAAGGCCATATCGGACCAGGAGGGCTTTTGGTGTGAGTTGTTCGGAGAGCTGTTCCGATCCGTTTGGGCAAGAGTGTCCTGCGCAAAAGTTAGTCCAATAACCTACAGGGCCTGGGTTGCTGTGGCCTTCATACCTGTAATCCCCAGTGCCTCTGGGAGGCCCGAAGTGGGAGGATCCACTTGAAGGCCAGGAGTTAAGAACAGCCTGGGCCAACAATAGTGAGCCCGCATTTCTATAAGAATAAAAAGCTTAAATAATTAGCTGGGTGCTGGTGCTCACCTGATCAATTAGCTGGGTGAGGTGGCAGCTCGCCTGTTGTCCCAGCCTACTTGGGAGGCTTGAGGCAAGAGGATGCGCCTTGGCCAGGAGTTGGAGTCTGCAGTGAGACTATAATTGTGCCCTGGCACTCAGCCTGGGCGACCCAAATCATGACCCGCTGCTCTAAAACAATAATAAAGTACACTGCTCTTCCTGCTTTGGGGCCGGCGGATTGTTGCCTGCGTGAGGAAATTGTGTAAAAGCTGTCTTGAGGGATACTGGTAGTGAGCACACTGTCTGCTTCCCCTTGCTTGGAGTTTCTCAAACTATAGGGCCTGCCCACCAGAGCTTTGGACTGTCCCTCCTGGAGACAAAGGCCCAGGGGTTGACAAGTTGGTGACAGAGATCCTTGGGGCTCCAGGAACCTGTGTTGCCTTTAAGAGGGTCTCTAGAGAGGGCTCTGCTTACTTTCATGAAACTCCCAGGGGAAACACACCATCGGGATCTGGGATATTCTATAGACCTCATTCGTTGGGCCTGGCAACCAGGGCGGGAGGGAGGCAGGTTGCTTAGGGTTCTTTTGCTGTCAGAACCCCGCGCAGAGGGCAGGATCCCTCCCCCCGTCATCTCCCCATGGCAAGCTTTGGAAAATTTGCTGACTTTAGGCTCCCACCCTCTCCCGTGGCCCTCCCTTGGGCACAGAGGTTGGCTCTGAGCAGCTGCTCTGGTGTGGGGAACAAGGCTGCCACCGTCCTCGCCCAGCCATCTGGATGGCCTGAGCTACCGAGGAGGTGCACAGTCCTGCAAGAGGACCGTGGACCGCGGAGGCGGTATCCAGTTCACGGGCATTGGCTGTAGGGCAGTTCAGCTCCGTTCTGCTCGCGCTCGAGGCAGAGCCCGTGTGCCCGGGCCCAGGCCCCGCAGGGAATACGGCATCCTCGGAGGTGAAGTCTGTACATGCCGGTGGCGCGGGACAGGTGCTGGCCCCGGAAAACACCAAGCGTGAGCGCTGCAACCGCAGAGCCTTGCCTTTTTTCCATGACCTTGTCAGGTGCTGTTACCTATATCTGGGAAAGGTGACATGCGGTGACATTGACTGAAGGTGGCCCC